ATTCAGTAAAAGAATGATTTTGAATACAATCGTATTTCATTTTATTCATAATTACTTAGGCCTATAATCAATAGAGGTTCAAATTTTAATATCTTCTAAATGTATCTAAAGATGACGATTTGATTACTTTAGCTTAAGATATGGATTAGAATAGGTTAGCTTATAATTAATTTAATGACAGTCATGTCTAAGTTACTCATAATTTTCAGCCTTAAAATCAATTGACAGTCGAGCATAACCATTCTTTACGTTAGCTTATGGACAACAACTGGAAACTTTTAGTTTAATACCTGGATAGAAGGATGATGTAATAAACTTATAACAATCATTTTTAGCTTATTTAGAATAATTTAGGCTTTAAAATAAAATGAATTGAAATTCAAACAAAATAGTGTACTCTAAAATAAATTGGCCATTAGATAACTTGAACGCCTAAACTCAAACATGGATAAAAAACTATATAATTAATTTATAGACAACTTTGTTTATCTGAATCGTAATTGTTGATCCTTAAAATTCATTGAAATTTGAATTGAAAATGGCCTCCAAAATGAATTAGTTCGTATCGCATTTAAAGTTGTGAGCTTCAAACGAGGATAAAAGATTAATATGAATAATTTAAGTACAACGTTAGTTATTTGATTCCTATTCAGGTTTAAAATTGACTGAAATTTGAATTTAAGAATGGCTTCTAAAATAAATTCGTTCTAATATGATTTGAAGTTCTGAGCTTTAAACATGCATAATATTGTCAGTAATAGAAATACAACCTTGATCATTTAATTCGTAGTCAAGTTTGAAATTAATTGGAATTTGAGTTCAATAATGGATACTAAAAATATGAATTCTTGTGTGATTATATATATACTATGCCTGAGCTGCTAATATAGATAAAATGATGACATTAATATTCTATATAGAATCTTGCTCGTTTGACTCATCATCAAGGCTAAAATTAATTGAAATTTGAGTTCGGTAGTAGACTTGTAAATAAATTATTTCTGATATGGTTTAAAGCTTTGGCTAAAGTTTAATATGGAGAAAAAACAAATATTAATAATCAAAGTTCAATTTTATTCATTAGATTTACCATTAAAATAAAACAAACTTTGAACTCAGCAGAATACAATAAAGTAATTTACTTCTTTGATGACTTTAAGACCTTGAATTCCAGAGTATACAAAAACACGATATAATCAATCCAAATACAATCTTACCCATTTAATTTATTATCATTTGCGTTTAAATTCAATTGAAAGGCTATCTTTAATCCACCCTAAATTAGCATTATTCAATTGTTATTCGACTGGCTTTAAAAATAAAGCCAAAAATGAATACTTAGCCATGCAACTAAAATAGATTATTTTTAGCTACTAATTTTTTTAATCCGTTTAACTAATCATGCATTAAAAAATGAAATATTATGGTAGACTGGAAGAACTCAAATTGGCTAAAATTAGGTCATCATGGCTAAAACCTGTTATCCTGTCACCTGGTCCACTACCCAATTTATCAGGGGTTAATGACTATCTAATAGATACTTATGCTTACTATTGATAAAGAAGTAAAAACCTTTAACTTCACTGGATAATGTTTACAAGTAGGAAATACATCTAAGCCAAAAGTACCGTGTGCGACTAGATTACACTCAAATGTTGACGAAATTTATTACTAAATGCCCCGTGCATAACATAGTTTCTTGTTTCTGCCTTTTTTAAATGGTTTTATCCTCTCATAAATTGATATAGATGTATTAATCTGATTTTAACTAATTTTTCAATTAATGACGATCCAAACTTTATGCTTTCTTAGTTTAATTAGCAAACGGCCATTATAATGGAATAAATGAAATAAACCGATGTAGATCTTTAGTATAGACAAATTATAATTCTAATATTAGCTTTTCGGTCCATCTATTATTCAAACCCCACAAATACATTTATCTATAGTAAATGATATCAATCAAGGCATCAAAAGCGTGAAAATTATTAAAGAGCAGAAAAAATCCAGCTAAGAATATTTTTACAGTATTTTAAGCTGATTAGTTTAAAAATCCAATACGTAAAAGATTGAACATGAATTGCGAGAACAGGAAATCAGTCTTAACAGATAGGTATCTAAATTATCGATTCATCCGGTCTGGATTCAAAGTAAAATTTAGAGACAAGTTAAGTCTATATCGCCTAGATGCTTATTTAATCAAATTGTAAAGGAGATGACTATCTATATTACCACACATGGTAGAAGTTTGTTTAGAAATGATGTAGAGACATTTTGCGAAATAGACCAGACTAGACTATGTAGACATACTTAGCATCTCAATTGTGATGAACTTTGTAAACTCACTGTAAGAAGGAAGAGCTATACACAAGCAAGAAATTAGTCTTTAATAAATGTCTATCTTTAGCTATGTGCTCCTTCAATTCACTCTAGTCTACATATTTTCTTACTGAAAATGAACAAATAGTTTGAACTAGTTCGAAGGTAAACTAATTTTTGTCCGTCAACTTTGCGACAATAAAGAAGAACACTAATATAAACATTTAGAGACTTATTGTTAACGCTGAAATAAAGAATTTTTCAGAATTTTTCAGAATTTTTCGGAATTTTTTTCCATTTTAATGTAAATATTCAATTGGCGAATGTTACCCTTTCGGCAGAGAAAACTTGTATATTTTTTCTGTCGTTGCTTTCGTCTAGATATTGATTGGATAGGAAAGAATCAGTCGATGCTATTATCACGCAATGATGAAAGATTTTTATTCCTTTGTTCTATATTTCTATTTAAATATTTATTACCTACCTATTTTATTCACGACTTAATGAAAGATTGATGTCAATACTAAGTAAATTTGAATATTGACTTGTAAAGCTATAGTAAAATATTCTATCCAGATGCCACGAAGGGTCAACGATCTACTGGATAGAAAAGGATATCATTTATTTTTTATTATCACCATATGGCAAAATTAGACGGTTGCCGAATGCAATGATCGCTTTGTCATAGAATTGAATTGGTAGAAATTTAAAAATTTTTTAAGGCTACAAATTTATGTTACTCTCGAGAATGACAGAACTATCGTTTTATCATTCCCATATGTCAAAATAAGTCATCGTAAATTACTTTGCATGTGAATTGGATTTATAGAGCCAGAGCTTTAAATTATTTGTTCTTTACGAAATAATGCAGTAATTTTGCTACTGGTAATTTTTGAAGACGTGCAGTAACTGTTGGTATAAGAATTGGATACCTTTACCAATTTCAAATTTGTATAGCATCGGAGAATAAAAGAACATCCTTTAATATCCGATAATATTATTGAGTTCTCACCTATTATAACTAGGTTGCACTCTTGTTATTCATTACTTTACTATCACAGCAATGACTTGAATAATATTGTTAACCTATTAAGATATTTTGATCATTTTTAAATCAAAGCCATCATAGGCAAGCATGAATTACCATCCGATAACGATGGAAGATATTGAGATATCTGTGGTACCGACTGACTTTGATTGATATTATTATCTTTATCAAGGA